AAAATTATGCAAAAATATTCTCACTCGTTGACTAATAACATTTAATTCAGAATTGTTATAATACTTCATAGAACTCTTAAAACTACACGTAATAAGCGTATTAAGTGCTTCGTAAACGCATTCAGTTAATTAGGAAAAATGATTTTAGTGATTTTTGTTTTTAATTTTTTTCTCAATTATACCTTAATATATGCAAACATTTTTAAGTGCAAGATGTAGTCTGATATTTAATCTAATTGTATAAAAAAAATCAGCTTTAAATTCCGTGATATATTTGAGGAAAATCAAATTGAAAATATGCGCCATATAGAATTGTAAATTTCCCATCACTTTTTAATAGCAATATTTATTTTGGATGTTTAAATATCATCAGCTCGATTGTATCAAATTATTGTATTAACATTCGATTTACATAGGTTTCAAATCGATGAGAAAATTATTAAATGTAGGATAAATTCGACTTCCTAGATTTGTTTACATACTTTTTTAGTTAGTTACTTACATACAACTTAAGTTAATATAAGAGTGTTAAAAAAGAAAAAAGACTCGACTTGAGAACCTCCTCCTTTTTTTGAAGTCGGTTAAAAACAATGTGAATGTGACTTTTTTGAACCTTCAACACTATGCTCATAACAGGCGGGATTTGAAACTTTTTAGACATGAATTATTCCTTCCAAAATTGTCGACCCTAGACTCGTAAAAATTTTATTAAGACGTTTTATGTTTTTTCTCAAATATATCAGGGAGTTTAAAGCTGATTTTATTAATACTATTAGATTAAATATCAGACTATATCTTGCAATTAAAAATGTTTGCATATATTAAGGTATAATTGAGGAAAAAAATAAAAACAAAAATCACTAAAATCATTTTTCCTAATTAACTGAATGCGTTTACGAAGCAATTAATACGCTTATTACGTGTAGTTTTAAGAGCTCTATGAAGTATTATAACAATTCTGAATTAAATGTTATTAGTTAACGAGTGAGAATATTTTTGCATAAATTTGAAGTAAAAAAATGGGTAACTTTGAATTTTTATACCACGAAAACTACGTGGAATTTTCAAACGGGAGTTTTACTATCATGTTTTTTTGTTTGTCGGCCGTTTGGTGTAGTGGTTCGAATCGGACTACTATTCCGGAGGTTGCGGGTTCGATTCCCGCACAGTACAAACATTTGTGTGCATGAACATATTTGTTTGTATTAGACTGGGTGTTTTCTATGTATAATATGTATGTATTTACAAAAAAAAAAGTATTTAAGTATGTTTATATCCGTTGTCTAGTACCCATAGTACAAGCTTTGCTTAGTTTGGGGCTAGCGGCGCAGTGTAAAATGTCCAAGGATATTTATTTATATTTATTTATTTTATGTTTGTATAACTGAGCTCTATACGTTTCATCAAATCAATGAGAATGTCCGTTTATACAGTCCCATAACACACTGTGCACTGTTATGTCTGTGTGACGTTCATTGTAATAAATAAATGTTTCTTTCTTGTCAATGCTGCTTTTTTGAACATTTTATGTAAAGTTCTTCCGTGATAAGAGATTTACGCCCGTACCTATTCACAAACGATGCCTGCTTAAGTGAAGCAGCAAATGCTATGCAAAGTCGAACGCACAGCGTAGAATAGAACTCTCTGATTGATTCGTGTGTGTCACTTCGCCAGTCAAGTTTTGTCTATGAATAGAGTTTTGGGATGTTGTGCGTTCACGCGCACTATGAGACCTCATAGTAATGTTTTGTGATTACGGGTGTTAGTTTCCTCTGTCGCGACTGTGTCTGATTTCCAGGTATGGCATAATATTGCAAAATCAAACATCGTGGAATGACTCCGCAGTTTGGAGGGCACGATAAGGTATCGGTGCCATCGATCCCTGTCAAACGCCTATGGCGGCTCATTAAGCCTGCACTAGGGCTGTGATCCCATTTGTTACTACCCTCTGTAGTACATGCCGAAATGTATTGACCTTTTCCAAAAAACATGAGATTAATCTATGTATTTTCTTTCAGTAAGTAATCTTTGAAGAATAACTTTTTCATGTCTCAATATAAATTACCACTGTTTCGAGACAATAATGTAGCCCAGTGGCCCAGTGAAGACATGAAATATTTATTTATTTATTTATACTAACCAACTAAGAATATTGAAGAAATGTTCATAGAAATGCTGCGGAATCGAACCCGACTTTTCGCATGCCGGGCGACTGCTCACTATTGTCACAATACATAAATCTATAGTATTGTAAATATTGCTGACCTTTTTTTTAATATAAGTATTACAAGAATACGTACCTGCTGGTATGACACACTCACTTCTTTTTTTTATTTTTGATAATAAGACGTTGTTTACATAACATCAAAATGTTGATTTACCTTGAAACACACTTCCGACCATTAAATAAAGATCCTCAAACATTTCCGCGTTACCTGCACGTCGGAAAAAAATGTCAAATCACGTAAATCTACCCTCGTCATAATGACGAGTATATACTCGGTTATTCCCCAAATCCTTCGCATCGCGTCGTCACCCATGCAATACGTGATACGAATGAGGATTTACTGGAATATTATTTGGTAAACACGTTGTTTATTAAATATTTTGCGTGGCATTCCATTAAGGGTTAAAAGGGATGATGTTAAAGGCCGTAGCACATTTATCAACCCGGAAAGGGATCGTAGCCGTATGAATTCGAGGCGGTCAGTATTTTTTGTATGAAACTCCAAACGCACAACGTAAACGTCTCGCCTCGCGATTGACAGCATGCGAAAGGCGATGACAGCTCGCAAAAGGCGATACAGTTTTGATCCCTTTTCGAGTTGATAATAATATTCTGCTAATTCTGCTATGACCTTACGTAAAATGTGGAGATGTCTCAAGAAAGGGCTTTATTCTTCAGTGGTTTGATTGGCAATCAAACTGTGATCTTGGCTACGAGAATGTAGAGCAATAGCCCATCAGGCTATGCATTTTTGATGCAGTATCACCCCTATTCCAACGACATCAGATGCTAGATTCACTTCTACGTGCCGTCGGGGCCATCGCCTTTTGACCTGTGTCTTTGTAACACTTGGTTCGATTACAACGTACACGCAACACTGCGTCCAGTAGACGAGCGTTATATGTTCTATAGGCACATAAAGTCATGTATGTACCTAAAGTTGAGTATAGACTAGAGCACTTCTATGTAATGTAACGTTCTTGCGAATGGTATAATACAGGTAAAATTTATGAAGTTTGATTTCATAGAGCGGCTCGTTGTTCTGTTACAGGTAAATGTTTTAATCTATACTTACCTTTACATGGACTACAAGTCGTAGGAACGAGAAAAGGCGATAAATATACGTCATGCAAAATTTAATTAACCTTTCTGTCCCTGTCCTTTAACTTTATAAATTGAATTCGAGTAGGTAAATCTTATAAACTGAACTTTATGCCCGGCTATTTTAACATTGAACTGAATGAGCGTTTTTTGGATGAAAATGTAATAACAGTGTGGTCGTAGAGTTCGCCTAATGCTAATAAACTTATTTATTGAGACAAACTGTTCTAGAAAAGTTCACTTTTCAGTTGTTTAAAGCAATAGTAGGTAATATGAAAATATCAATTTATAAGAACGGAAAATATCGAGGACATTTCGGGATTTTGAACTCGAAAGGTAATGTAAAAAATAATCTGTGAAAATAACTGTACTTAAAGAACGTACTTACTACCTATTTTTCCTTTTCCTGATGTTTAAAAAGCATAGATCTATACAGATAACAGATCATGTTTAAATGTAGATAGAAAAGATATTTTTTACATAATTATGGAGATAAGTGTTTTGTGGGAGATACTTAATACTAATTGTTATTTATTATTATGTAATTATAGTTATTATAATAAATATTTTGTTTTAGTTACCATTAATGTATGTGTACACTATGAATAAATAACTAATATTGTATTATTAAGTGTAATGTAATTTGTAATCATCGACCGTCGAAAGAACAAAAAAAAACCACGATTTTCGTTGAATTTGTGTAACGTAATATAAATAAATGATACAATAAGTAGGTACATTGCATGTTATATACAAGTTTCCCTTGAAATTACATCTTGTACCTTTGATTGTTGCATTTTTGTGATCCTTGTAAATAATTCATTAAGATATCTGTGATCTGTAAGTTTAAAATATTTAATATATCTATGTTCTAATAATAATTATGTTGTATAAAATTTAGATCGAGATTAAATAAATGTGTTTTTATACCGTATACTTTTGTTTCTTTTACTCTAAAAATGTCCCGACCATAATCTCAAATGTATGACATATTAACATTAATAGGGTTTGCCTATTTAGACCAAAGAAACAATAAAAATAAATAATGTCCTTTATTAATACAACCGATTATCTTAACATAATATTATTAAGATAGAGAAATAAAAATATAATTCATTTGAAAACTGTACTTAAATAAGGAGGTAAACATTTGGTTAGTGACTTTTTATTTTTTCTGATTATTTAAACACTGGCTGATTATATTTTACAAAACTTGGATAATGGTTTTTACAAAACTCCGAAAGTAGCTACTAATGTTATTATAATTAAAATGGAGCTTTCTTATACAAAAACACTCAAGTGAAACTAAAACCTAACATACATTTACATTCAAATATTGTACAACCTGAGGGCTTAGTGTGAGTTTACATCAAACGTCGTCACTAGTAAGCGCGTAAAAAAGTGACATTAAAATGTATGACGGATTGTACAGCGCCCCTAGCGAAAACTTTCGAGAACTAAAATTTTCCTAAACCCTCTGATAAATTGCCTAGCAACGAGACCAGAATCCTTAACACCTAGATGTAAATAGAGAGACTAGATCGTTACAAATATGTTACAATATTAAACATATTTAAGTAAGCCGCAAATATCATTTATTATCTCATTCAAAATGAGATAGTTATGTTACGAAAGTAACTCTGTCTGGCAGTCTGTTACTTTTTCATGCTTATAGCTTATACCACTGAATTAGTTCCAACCTAAGGCACAAAAATAGGATAGTTTTATCACGGATTTTGAAAGAGACATGCTCGATAATATCTTTTTGTGACAGTCATTATAGGTAAGCATTATAGGTATACCTAAGCGAATAAACCAGAACTATTTGACCTATTTAGACATGGAACGCATAATAATGAACAGACTGATAGAATTACATCGCATGTGTAATAATTGGGGGCGTTTGTCAAAAATAAAATTGTACCTAGGCGTTCGTGTAGCGGCAAGTGCAAAGTATTTACTGTTAAAAAAATGTATGGGAAAACGTCACTATTGAACTTAGCAAATGTGTCTTCGCAAAAAACTTGTTAAAGTTTCAACGGTTGCCCATTTTGACAATTTCTGACAAATTCTATTTTCGGCCACACACCCCCAGTGTCTAGCATAGCGCAGGAAAATTGCACAAAATTTTACCACGACATTCTACTTAAAATTCTGTACTGAACTTTAAACATTTTGATCAAATCTTGTGCACTGAAAAAGTTTTCTGAATGAAGCTATTTCAGACAGATCAATTTTCTTTTACTCTTTGTAACTATCATCAATTAATTATTCTAAGCGTAAGCTCCAAAATAATATTCCGCAAATATTTTACAAAAAATAATTATGTTGCATAAAAAACCCATCTACTGCCACTTAAGCAAAAAAAAAAATAGCCCACAGAAGCTTCTACATATACATACAAGGTCCCTTGTTTTCATGAATATCTTTCTATGCTATTTTATGCCTAAACTAATACAAATTTCCAAAAATATGACTTTATTCAAACACAATTAATTTAAATACAATTTATAATATAGACTAGTTTGGTAACATAGTAAGTACATTTTTTATATTACAACGATTCCTTAAAAAAGCTATTAAACTATTTTTAATTTCTAGCGAAATTGTTGCATCTTTGGTATTTGTTACATGATCGACTTGGCAACTAGCTAACGAAAGAATTCAAACTGTACTTGCAACTGTGGCTTCACTGATGTGTCTATTCACACATCAGTGACGCCACAGTTTATAGATTCAAATTCAAACAACACGGGTTTGAATCTATGCTTTAGTCGAAACAGATTCTTGAATTTTACTTCATAGCACTAGCCTAGCCCCTTGAAGTATACATACTATAAATAGAGGATAGGACATTCCCAAAAAGTAGTTTCTCCATTAAGTACTATATGAATTATTATGAGTCAGGGATTTTTTTAAATAAATAGTGTCCAATCCCCTATTTTCGATGTCGTTTCTTAGTCTAATTTTCTAGTTAGGCATGGGCGACACGGATCTCCTCGCCTGCATCGCCTTGTTGTCGCAGTATGTTCGGATGTCGCTCATGGTTTGCATCAAGAAGATCGGGACATCGTCATCTCGTTTCTGGAAAACAAAGAAAATCATGTAAGTATAGGGTGTAAGTTAATCTAATTCTAAGGGTTGTGAAAGATAGGAGGTAGGTAAAATAAATAAAGTAAATACCTACTTAAATATTATGATTATGACAGTGATTTCGACACTTGGTTACAATAAATTGAAAACTGATTTCTGGAAATTGTAATTGTTTCTGGTAAAGGTTGTGAGAAGAGCCTGGATGCAGGCAGCGCAGGACCGTTCATTGTAAAAAACCTTGGGGGAGGCCTTTGTCCAGCAGTGGACATCATTAGGCTGCAACGAACCCTTTTGCCACATTTATATTTTTAATTTTCATTAATTGCAATGGAAGTGGGGGTGTGCTTTATCCATTTTGTGAAAAAAACATATCAATATTAATTAACACACAGCTTTAATCCATTATTTTTGCGAACCCAACCTATCTGGGCAGCGTGGGAAGTGATTAGCCAATTCTCTATACAGGGTGATTTTGTAATAAGTTTCTTACTAAATCACCTGTATTATAATTCTTCTTCATCTTTTTTTTTAAACTCTATAGATCAATTTAACAATATTACTTTATTGTAATTATTTGTAGTCGTGGTATTTTTCGCAAAAAAATATATTTCAAATCTAATTCGCGGGTGCTCATAATTATCTTATGTTTCAAAGGTTAAGGCTTTCGCGCACCATTACATCTATTTAGGTTTGCAGTTACTTGTGGTACGTGTTATTCTAAATTATCCACGTGTGTCAATTTTGAAAACGAGCGCAGGGGATAATAAAATTGAAATATGAATTAAAATGCTTTCTTTACCTAAATTGATTAATGCTAAATGATTGCTAATTCTGAGTCGCTCTTAAAAATTTGGACACCGATTGCAAAATCACCCTGTATATTTTGCCTCTGGTAAATTAGAGGTCATAACTGGAGTGGAGACTAAAATATAACATTGGCTTGGAAACCAATCTTTATAATGGGAACTTCCGTGTCTTATTTTAGAGCAAGATATTATGAGAATAATACGAGTAATAGATCGATGAAAATAGACTTTAGAACGTGTATTACGGAACGATACCCGGGACGAAAGTTAAGCTGGGAAAGCTCTTAAAGCTTCCTGAGCGCGTCCCTTCAAAAAAAAAACAAACGCCGGAAGATTCTTCAATCGAGTCACGATGCAGCATCGATACAGTTGCAAAATATCTACCTTTATACACCGGTGTTACTAAAAGCAGCGATACAATCGCAATGCAGTTGGGCAACTGTCAAACGTGGGTCGTCAGAAAGCCGCAATGTGTAAGCTCCTTTAGATAGCAGTATAGCTTCCTTACTCAGAATTTTATCTGTATGAAAATGTTCTTACTTGGAATAAAACTTCTCCTTCGAAGAAGGTCAGCTGGTGTTTCCTAGACCTCAGCAAAATGCCGACGAGTTTGTCTGAAATCACCGTGTATATCTGTAACAAGAAAAACATTAATTAGGTAAGTATGTGATTAAAGAAAATGATTTATTATTTCACGGAATGGCTGCATTTCGGAAAAATTATGTACCTAAGGCTCGTTTTCAAAATTGGTATAATTGGCATTTAGATATTTGGTATTCGGATTCTGATTGGGCAAAAAGAATGAGACATGTAAAGGCTCCATAGGAGCAAAATTTTTTTTTAAAGTTTTCTTTCTTGCTTTCGGACTTTCAGCCTCAAAAAATTAAAAGGTGCCAATAGTAAGTCTGGCACCTCAAATATTAAATTGACAGTAAAAAATGAGAATAGCGCCATGCATAGTATAGATAAAATATTTAATATCCAAGTAATGATACTGATTTGATTATTTTGCTATAGGTTTTTCTTTTCAGTTCCTTTCGTTATTTACATTTTAATTTCAATCCCGAGTTTTTGCGTCATCTTCCCGATGATATTCTAATATCAAAGATTCCAATACAAACTGATGGAAAATAACAATATTTACTTAAGACTGACGTCTATCGATCCGGACCGAAAGGAAACGTATCCCGCGAGTATTTTGGGAGATATCTCGGATTTATAATAAAACCTCAGCTAAGTACTTATTCACCAAAAAGATTTGCTAATTGTAACTTCGTTACAACATTCAAGTCAGCTGATTTCATTGAAAGAAAAAAGAAAGTTGTAACTACGCAAACTGGAGTACCTAGGTATTTACTTTTGGTTTCTTTTTCGGAGGATATTAGCAAATATTGGTTTCTCCTAAATAAAACAGTATCAGATCGCTCATTAGACTGTACATTTTTGGAGCGAAATAGTACAAGTAGTATAGATCGTTTCATGTTTCATCCACGAAGACGTGCCCCACCAATTTTTGGTCGAGGGAAGCGCGGGGTGCTGGGAGTTTGATCCGAGCAATCCGAGCGTCATTATTGTAGTGTGCACGTGCACTCATGGATAATTTAGCGTGTACCGATAACACTCAAACATTAGCGAAAGAATGGTGGGGTGCGTCTTCGTGGATGAAACGATCTATAACCTAGCCTACCTAACTACAAAAGCCTCTGTGTTTACCTTGGTCTTTAACTCTTAGTTTTTGCCATAAATATGTGATGGAATATGCACGACAGTTTGTTTTGTATACTTCCTGTACCTATGTTTAATGGTTCCAAGGCAATAAATACATTTTTTTATTGTGTAGGTAGCCTTAAAATATTATCATTACGAAATACTACGATTTAACCAATAGGTATCCTATATCAGACCCAATTAGATTATTTAACAGGTTAAATTATGAGATCCAAGCTATAAACATAACCACACTCATTCAATGTCACTGCGCACATGAAATTAGATGTTTACTCGTGAAACTGATGAATCTGACGTCATGACGCTAATGTAAATCAGTCTTTATTCCTGTTACCATAAAGGGCTGCGCACGCGCACGTTTCTAATTACGAATGCGCCGTCAGAGGATTGGAATGGACATATAAACAAGAGGAACCAGTAAATGCTATTTCCATACCATTATGACAAGATTCCATTAGGTAAAGCGATGTAGGATTTGTATTTGAAGGTTAATAGCGCTAAGAGTACGATATTAGGCTCCTTTGAACTAATTTTGTATGTTTTTTAACCAGAACAAGGAAGATCTAATGAAGGCTACCAACCGGCCTTTGTGGAATTCATTAAAGGAGGCCTATGTTCAGCAGTGGACGTCCTATGGCTGAAATAATGATGATGAAGGAAGATCTTAGCTTGCATCTGACCTGATGGAAAGTGATGACCAGGCCGAAGGTGGAAGCGTGAACGTTAACGTAAACGTGATCCTGCAAAAACAGTTCCTGCAAAAAACAGGATTTGTCCGTGGGAACAAGCCCTGAATGTGGGCGCACACTAGTGGACACGCGACAGCGACAGAAACGGCGACTAGACGCGAAGACAGAGTGCGGCAGACAATTTCATATTATTTAGTTTAAAGCTTCGCACACTAGGCGTCAGAGCCACGGAGTCGCGATGACAAGTTAATATATGAAATTGAGAAGGATAGGCGAATCAGAAATGAGGAGATCCGTAAACGAACCAAAGTCGCTGACATAGCCCGACGGATTAGCAAGCTGAAGTGGCAACGGGCAGGGCACATAGTACGCAGAACTGACGGCCGATGGGGCAGAAAGGTTCTGGAATGGAGGCCGCGTACCGGAAAACGCAGCGTGAGACGTCCACCTACAAGGTGGACCGACGACATCCTAAAGGTAGCAGGGAAGCGCTGGACGCAGGCCGCTACCAATCGATCAACATGGAAAGCATTGGGGGAGGCCTATGTTCAGCAGTGGACGTTCTATGGCTGAAATGATGATGATGATGAGGCGTCTAGTTTAAAAAGATGAGACGTGTAGAGCCTCTACACGTCTCATCTTTCCTACCTCTACACGTCTCGACCTCCATATTCCTTAAGAGCAAAAAATATTTGAGGATTTGTGAGTACTTATAATATAGTCTATACAAATAAATAAATTTTGACTTTGACTTTGACTTTAGTCGCCGAGCTGTCACTGTCGCGTGTCACGCTGTGTGTGACTACACTAATACATCATTCTATTAGTGCGAACCGAATGAAAATTCATACACCACTGTCTGCGTTTAGACTAAACAAACACACCGTCCCAGACTTTAATAAATCCGTGATAAATCACATTAGGGTAAGTCCAGGATAGATGCCCCACTTTTTGAAACAGCTCTGTAACTCAGTCAGTAAGTTTTTATCAACAATTTGACCTTAGTATCTGTAAACTTTGGTCTTTCGTCTATGATATTACTATAATTATTTTAGTTTAAGTTATACCGATTCTGAGTAAATACCATTTTAATTGACCTCTAAAAAGTGGGATAGACGCCTAATGTGGGGGATAGAAGACTCACTGTATGATTGCTTCAAAGGATAGATGCCTGATGCAGGGATAGATGACTCGTTAATACAGTTTTTGAATTCGAAGGATCAAATGCATTTTGAAATCAAACAAGCCAAGTATTATTATTTAAGATTGTTTGTTATTATATTAATTAAAAATGAAATTTTAAATTTTTTATTAAAAATAGTACATAGTACATCCACTCGAAGTCGGGTAAAAAGGTAATTCGATCAGAAGGGCAGCCTATTTATTACTTTCCTAAGGTTAGCCGTACTACATTCTTTTTTTTCTTCTTACTTGCTACCTGTGTCAAAAAGAGCAGGTTAGGATAGATGCCCCTAGGTGCATGGGACATGGCCCTAAGGGCATCTATACCCAAAAAAAATTAGGCAACTATCCTTTTAGCATAGGATAGGTGCCTTTTTTAATAAAAAATATAATAACACTAAAAATAGAATTAAACATTGCTATCCCGTCTAATTTATAAGATAGTCTATCAAATTATATAAAAATCTGCTTCATTTTACAGCTGACAAAAAAATTATCCATTAAAAGATACTTACCAATTTTATTTCGACGCTCGCTAAGGTTTGGCCGCGGAAGATTTTTGCTCTCACTGGCTAAACGAACGCACTCTTTGATGGTTTGCGAGGCGAAAAGTGGTACGGGGAGGTCCCTTTCTATTATACGTACTATAACTTTAGGCTAAGTTGCTTGTAACATAGTGTACTTAAAATCGCGGCACCTATCCCACTGGGGCATGTATCCTGGAATTACCCTATAAATACGAAACTAACTCTGTGTCTCTTTGTTTGTCTGCTAACTTTTCACGCCTAATCTACAGACCTAACGACTTAATTTGAATATACTCGTAGTTAGACCTTGGAGAAGGACTAAAGCTTTTTTGTGAAAATAAAACACAAATTAGATGGATTTTGTTTTACGAATTGGAGACCAAGAGCTAAGCTACGTTAGTTTAACAGTGTTCAGTGCCTGAGGTATGAGGAGCGGCACGACGGGAGGGGTGACATTGACATATTATGACGTGATAGAGCATACAAACTCGCTGACGTTAATGACCGTCACAAAAACATCCAACTGTGCTAAGTGTCAGTACCTGAGGTATGGGAGCGGCACGGGAGGGGTGACATTGACATATTATGACGTGACAGAGCATACAAACTCGCTGACGTTAATGACCGTCACAAAAACATCCAACTGTGCTAAGTGTCAGTACCTGAGGTATGGGAGCGGCGCGGGAGGGGTGACATTGACATATTATGATGTGATAGAGCATACAAACTCGCTGACGTTAATGACCGTCACAAAAACATCGAACTGTGCTAAGTGTCAGTACCTGAGGTATGGGAGCGACACGGAAGGGGTGACATTGACATAATAATATGACGTGACAGAGCTTACGACGGATCTAAAGTCTCGCTGACGTTTGACCGTCACAAAACCACCCTACTGTGCTACTCTCATACCTCCGTCCGGGACTGAAACCGTTAGACCTATGATACATTGCTTTTGGTAACAAAAAAACAGTTAAGAGTTTTTGAAAGGGTAACGCGTTCTGTATATTATGTAGAGACTCTCTGACTCTATAGACCAAAAACATAACCCTCCTTCTGGCGCAGTCGGGTAAAAACCACGTGAACGAAACCACGGACAAAACCTAGTTTATTGTAATAAGTATAGTGACGATTATTATTAGACTGAGCCCACATCTTGAGATTTTCCCAGAATTACTTTATTGGATCTTCTCTACTCGTTTCATTTTTATCCACACTCATATTATAATATCATAAACCGTTATTATACACCGTTACATGTATTGGATTATGTCGGTTACGATTGGTCGTTATGGTCTATATGAAGTACGCAATTCGAAAAGGACGGGCAATTTAATAAAATACTCTTATAAACATGTATCGCGTGAGACGTAACAACGAATCCCTATTGCGAGTATATTTTGTACTACGCCGAGGGTTCGATTCAATTTCGTGGACGAAACTAGTATCCGTTTTTACCGTGTTTTCTACATGGTAAATAAATCATAATAATTGTAAGTTAATACTT